GCTGTGATACGTAAATTTTGCAAAGTTCGCGTGACGTATATCACCGCGCCAAGTAGTTATGACCGATCATTGTCAGACGCCGCGATAAAAACCGTCGCTGACGTCCGAGTCTGAAGGCATCTAACTACTTGCCAGACGACGGCTACATCTGCGATTACTTGTTAGCTCGTATCTATGCAAAGGGGGATAAATGTGTTACGATGCAAAAATACGGAGTGAAATCGCTGAAACGTTAATTTTCGCGATTTATTTTACATCGCCGCCCCAAATGACGAATGTCTTGCGCGCGAAGAACAAGAGATTATTTAATTTTGTAGCCGCGTATCCTCCTGTCACGTCGCAACAGATAAGTCGTGTTTCAATGAGAGTTTCTATACATTTTGGATCGCGTATTCGCGATCGAACGATTACAGCAGTTTTTTTGCGACAATGTCTTATGAATAATCATAAATTCGTTCGGTGTGTCGGTCTAAAGTCCGAATTAATTATATTTCGCGAAAGACTAATGTCCATTTCTACCATTGCAGATTACTTAAATTTATTTCCTAACTTTGTCCCATTCTTAGAACTTGGAAAAAGAATGGAAAGTAAATTAGACGGAGACTCAGATTAATCTACGTTAGTAGGAATAGGCCTGAGCGATCGGCTTAGCTCTCTTCGACCCCGTTAACTTTCCTCCTCTCGCATCCTCCCGTTCAGCTCCGCGCGCCGCGCGGAGGAAGTCATGGGCGCCGATCTGCCATTGTTACGGCCGTAAAGACCGAGTCAGGCCAGCAATTGTCGACGCGCATTGGGATTCGCGATTGGCGACTGTCTTCTAGCCAATGAGAGCACAGCAGCCAGCGATTTAATCGGCTCTCATTGGCCAGAAGACAATCGTCAGTCGCCAATCCCAATCCAATCCGAGTCAGCAATTGCCAGTCTGATTCGGCCTTTACTCTCTTCGGGAACGACGTCGCGATCGGCGGCGATTCGAGCACAGACTTCCGTATATTGCACTACTAGACTGTTACCTTCGAGCCGAGGGAGAAACAGTTGACAAAAATCTTGTACACCAATGCCCAGTAATGCCCAGTAATGCCACAAACCTGTACACCACATGCCCTCAGCGGTTTCCCCCTCGCTTCGAGCCGAAAAGTGAGACTAGAGTGCCGCCACGTGTCTTGTTAGGTAAGTAAAGTAGTATGCGTGCATCGGTCTGTCAGTGACACGCCTGCTACTTAATTTACCTAACAAGACATGGCGGAGCTCTTGCCTCACTTTTCGCTCGTCTGTGGATTCGAATCGCAATTCGAGCGCGGCAACGCAAAGCAAACCGATGACCGACCGGCCGGCCGGCTGGCCGCCTCGCCTCGCCGCGCCGTGCCGCCTCGCCTCGCCTCGCCTCGCCACGCCGCACCTGCACCCGCTCTCGGCGCAAGTGGTTATATTTGTAATCCTCGTATACTCTCTTCTTTCCCTGTGCGGTTTCTCTCCGTGCAGGCCAAGTATGTACGCGGAAAAGAAACGGCCTGCGCTCTCGGCCGACTGCCAGACTATATTTACTGCAACGTGCCGATTACACCTGTGTAAAAAGTCCCGTGGGAGACGGAGAGCGCAGATCCCGCGGTATCGATTAATCGCCGAGGGGGTGGTGGCCACCCCGCGAAAGCCCACCCGAAACGACGTGTGTCTTTCGGGCGGGGTAAATTTTCTCGAATGCTAAACGAGGAAAACGGAGCCCGGTTTTTTTTTCGCACGCGTAAGAGTGCCGGTTATATCGATTTATTTATATACTTATCGACTAAAAGATAATAATAATTATTATTATAGCTGTGATGGGAGCGAGAAAATAACGTAGGCTTTTCTGGATAACTGTCGAGCAGACTTTGCCGTTCGTTTAGAAATGTGAGGCGTGGAGATGACAGCGATGACGGCGATGAGGTCTACGACAATGCGAATATAACCGGTAAAATTGCAGGTCATTTAAAAAATTTGCATCCCGATAATCCTTAGTCGACGATGTATTTTTACAGCGTTCTCAGGTAAAGAGACTTCTGCTGAGATGGTTACGCAACTAGCGCAATTGAAAAATGAAAAGTTTAAATCGAAATCGTCATCTAGAAAATTAACGAAAAGCGATCATTCCTCGATGTCAATAGCGTGGCCACGTTATTAATGAAGACATCGAGTATTAAATGCGGATGTTGAAAAACTTAGAGGATCGCGACAGCTTTCTTGACGTCATAATTTAACGCCGATCGATGCGTCCAAGTAAATTGTGGTTTAATTGGCAGACGGGGAATAATCGCGGCGAAGTGGACCACCGCGATTGTCTAGGCGAAATAATAACACAACGATATTCTCGTCCGCCGTCCACGTCACGGCGGTGACGTAAGCAGATATCGGGCACAAACGGTGACGACCGTTTGGAAATATATCAGACGAGCGCGAGGCGGCGATAACCCAAATCGCTCTGTAATAACGTTCAATTATTTAGCCGTCGCAAATGGCACGAAGAGGAACGAGTTACAATTATCGACGATCGAATATTGCACGAGCGAAAGAAACTCGACGCCTTTTTCAGAACGGATTAACATCTTTGACGAAGACTGATGCTTGAATATCTGCTTCCATATCGGAAGCGAAAATAGGTGAACGGGCTTACGATAAGTCGTCGCCCCGAAATACAATTATTAAAATGAAACCGATGCGCGATCGGTGTCTATAAAAGGCGATTGTGGAAATGTGTAAGTGAGGCATAATAATTTTACCCCCGTGTTATTAAGCCAAAAATGAGCGCAACAAATCGTTTACCTATTATATCAATTTCGATTAATTTTCGCTTCTGCAACTGAAACTAGAGTATGATATTATGTGACCTGAATATCGGATACGGTATACACGTTGAACCGTACATAAATACATGTGTCGATAGTTTAGCATAATTGATGAAAAAGTTTTAATATCATATTGAATGCACTTAATTGCGAACTAAAATTGAAAAAATTAATTGGACGATTTTTAGATTGCAATTTCACTTTTCTGTGACAATTTTCACGTATTAACCATTAACCATTAACATTATTACCCTCCAGATTTGATATTTGGTAATAAAAGTTGAATATTTGCAATTGGGTCTCTGAACAATTTGATTATTTCCGAGCAATATTTAGAATTTTAAGAGAAAACCGACTTTTATAAAAATAAAAATGAACCAACATTCGCACTTTAACGGTTTTCATACACATCGACGTTAAGATATTAAATTTTCCTCAATACCTAATTGCAGTCACACTCAGTAACCAATGCGATCTGTTTTCTTTCACGACATTTGCAATTTAGCTAATTTTACAATGTCTTCGTTTTAATGCGCGATCTATTTCGAAAAATTCCACCTCCAATTTCTTCTATTGTCACTCGACTATCAATGAAAATAGGATTATCAATTGGAATATGAAATTTCGACGTCCCACCAGGGACCAGGGTAGGTACAGCGCATGAAAACGTCGATGAAAAGAAGCTGGTACGGGGCTTCCCGCATTATCAAAAACCGCAACCTTATCAATGATCGAAACTTTCAATCGAACGAGCAAAACGCTCGAGTACTACGATCTAGCGTCCTCAGCGCGGGACCATCACCACCACCACCGCCACCACCACCGCCACCACCACCGCCACCAACACCACCACCATCATCGTCGTCGTCATCGTCATCGTACATCACCGTCACCGTAACCATCACCAGCAGCTCGCAGCTCGCGGGGAGTAATCCGCGGTCTTGCGCCCCGCGTTTCTGACTTACACTTGTTCCAATGATCGTGGCGTTGCGCCGCGTGGTGCTCGAGGTTCCGATGATGGTCGTGGTTGTTGTTGGTGTCCGCGGCGATGGTGAGCTGGTGGTACGGCGTGGCGGTGGCCAGGTGGATCGGCGCCGTCGCCGATCGCTCCTGCTGCTGCTCGACGCCCAGGTGCCGGACGGCGGCGACGTCGTTAGCGCCGCGATGGTGCTGCTGATGCCGGTGATGGTGATGCGCCGCGACGCCGACGGCGGCGGCGGTCGCTTCCGTGCTGCCGGTGCTGTCCTCGACGGTGGTGCGCATCGCGCGCTACGATCAGCGGGGTCGCCTTCGTTCAATCGCGACGGCTGCCGCCGGTCGCGCCTGGCATCCCGCGCGGTTCACAATTCCGCGCGATGCGAGGCCGGAAGCGCGCGCGTGCGCGCGCGCGCACGTCCCGCGCGTCGGAGAGACAGATAGTCCGAGGTGTCGCGCGCGCGCGTCCGCGATCTATAGATCCGCGAGGATCGTCACGTGAGCCGCGGGGCTATCGGCGAACGCGAGCCACTCGCTTCGATCGGCGCGGGCATCGGAGATCGCGATCCCGAGCGGACGATCTGACGCTCGACGCCCCCCGAGAGGTCCCTTTCAACTTTTACGCGCGAGTCTGAGATCGCGCCAAGTGAGATCGATGCGTGTGTGTTGCACAGTCCACGCCGATCGGTAGTTTGGAAACGCGTCGCGCTCAAAGGGACGCGAAAGGCTGGCATTCAGCATCGATACATCCCTTTAACAGTGAAGCATGCGCGCCGCGCCGCTCGTCGGATGGATGGCAGGGGGAGGGGAAAGAAAAACCAAGTGGACACGGCAATGAGTGAGGTCGGACTTGCGGTCGAAGATCCGTCGCGCGGCCGATCGTCGGTCGAATGCTCTCACCCGATCGTTTGGCTATCGATCAGTGAGAGGAGTAACGAAGAGATCGAGAGGAAAGGGGGAAGGGGGGAGAAAAGCGAGAGAAAGAAGAAGAATTGGAACGATGAAAAGATGAGGATCTCCTGCCGCCAGCCGGTGGAGAACGCGGCCGTGATTTCCACAGGCAACGCAACGCAACGCACACACACGCACACGCACACAAGAGGAGCGGAGCGAGCAGCCTCCTCCTCCTCCCGCGCAACAGCGAATGAACGAACGTGAGAGACAGCGACACGTGGATGTGTGATGTGCGGATGGAGTATCACCGACCTGCGTGCGTCGTCGTAGGGCAAGGCGAGTCCTTCCTGATGATGTTGTCGGAGGTCAGCGCCCCACCGAGGAGCCCGAATACTTCCGCTCTGGGCACTCGCATGCAGAATCCTGATCGGTCCGGCGCGTTTTCACCGCTTTATGGTTGCCGTCGCGTAGCCGTGCCGGACGACATCGTCGTTCTTCCCGTTGTAAGAGAGCTGGTCCTCAGGTGCACCCTCCACCCCCGTCTGCTCGGTCCAGTTGCTGGATCGCGGGTTACCACACGGCGCCGCCGCTCGCGGATCGATGGGGGGGGGATCCGTCACTCCGGAGCACCGAACGCGACGATCAACACGCGGAGATACCACGCGGAGAGGCCACCCTCGAAGACGCTCGAGCCCGCGAATACGATTCTGTATGCGCGAAACGAAACGACTGGGCGTCGATTCTGGGCGAAACGAAACCGAGACGTCGGACGTCGAAGAGAAAAAGAGAGAGAGAGAAAGAGAGAATGAAAGAGCGCGAGAGACGACAGGTGAAAGATCCTCTGAGAGAGAGCTGGATCCTCGGCTACTCTGAGAGAGAGTACACTCGCACGGGTGGCCGGCCGCCGCGTAACTGAGTCTGGATCGCGCGCGTTCCGCCACTATATTAAAACCGTACCGTGTGTAGCGACGGCGACGGCGGTGGTGGCGTAGGACGGCGCGGTGAGTGGCGGAGCGGTGAAACGGCAGGCCGCGGCGGCGGGGAGCGTGCGGCGTTAATGGTGACGTCACCGCGGACGTCATAACCCAGGACGCACACACGGCTGGCCGGCCGGCGGATCGATGGACCCGGCCCGAGTATGAGCGCACCCATTGGCCCACGCGGCCGATGATGCTGTCACGGTGACGTCAGCGCGCCACCCACCGCCCGTCCGGCGGCCGCACTCTCGCCGCGCGCCCACCCCTCGCGCTCTCTTCCGCCTCCGTACCCTCCGGCGCCCGTTTCAACCCCACGCAAACGTCTCGGGGCAGTGGAGCGGCGGGTGGCGGGTGGCGGCAAGCGGACCTGACGCCGTGTCGCTCGAGATAAGGAAGGAAGAGGGAGACGGAGCAGCGTGCGCGCGCGAGAGAGAGAAAGAGAGAGGGGGGAGGGTGAGAAACGGGCTTTAAATTCGCTCGAGATTCCCCCGTTCCTCCTTTCTCTCTCGTTTCCTTTTCATTGCGTTGCGCGCGGTTTTTATGAATGCAACGCACCTAATTACGTCACGGCTGTGACGTTGTTCTTTTTGCGCGCTGGATTATATACGGGATTCTATATGCGCGTACGGTTAAAAATGGATTTTTAAATTGAATGCGGAATGATATTTTGCGATATAATACCTGCGACGTCGTGCGCCGCACGTTGAGGGCTCTTTCGGATAAACATTGCGGAATTGAGTGAATTTTCATTTCACTCATTTTATGGTGTACCTCAGCAAAGAGACGGTAGTAAAATAAGATATTCTAAATACGAGGCTCCTGAGATATCTTCAGCTCCATGTATTTCCATTTAACAATTCATTAAAAGTTTACCTCGCCGCCAGGAGAAATTCCACGGATGCTCGCTAATAAAATTGATAACTGCGACTGTTAAATTCACAATTAAGCAACGCACGAATGCCGCTTCGAGCACCGTAAAACGCACAGTCGTGAATAACCGTTCAATTCGTCAATGACCGGTGATTTTGTAATGCATTAACGAGTGCGCTATCGTGCCTTTTTGCACATTGTCATAAATATACCGAGGCCGATCCGACGGCGAGCTTATAGCCGGTTTTGTAATATCGACGAGAGGAGACCGCGGCGGAGTCGATACTCGCCGCTCGTGCGTGCAACGATGCACCGGAATGCATCGCATCGGGGGCGCAATCCAGACGTGCTGCCGTTATTAACCTATGACCTAGGAACGCGCAGTCAACCCCCCCCTCTTCCCCCCCGTAATGTAATCAGCCGATAATTATCGCGTAAGGCTGTGACGGTATCTCGCTATTTTGCGTCCGCGATGATCTAAGAGCCGGTCTGTAATTATTTTGTAATAATTTCTTATGAAAACTCCAAGAACGGCCAATCTTCCTGGCGCGCGTTGCGCGACGTTTCTCGCGGCGCAAAAGAATCAAACGCGTATTCTCTACCTTCAACGATAAGGACTTCAATCTTCGTCGTTTTCGTAAGACTCAATTCGTAAATAACAAGAATAAAGACTTATTGTCGCCAGTGAACGATTGGCCAATGTAGGAAATTAATAACCGGCGCAAAACTGGCAAATCCCAATTAAAGAAATTTATTGCGAAAAATATTACCTCAGCCAAGGTTCGAACCTGGACCTCCCCTACTACACTCTCGGCGTCTCGCCAACTCGACCACTGAGGCCACGTGACTCATTGGTCAATTCTTAAAGACTGGAGATGTCCACGTTGGAGACTCGAAGACTCGCGCGAGGAGGAAAACTTCGCGGAACGAACGAATTCACTTATAGCGAACTCGGCGGCTTGCACTAGTGCGCACTGAGTGCACACCGAGGCCTGTTCAGAGTCTACTTACATTCACGGTCATTGCAAGTACGTGTCCAAAAACTATTTAGCAAAAAGAAGGATCCGTACGAATGCTAGATAAATCATTTTACTGGCTAAGAAGTGTTTCAAAAAGTATTTAAGGCGTTCCTTAAATCTAAGAATTGACTATAAACAAGCCGAATTCGCTATTAGATATACATATATGTACACTGAATTTTCCAATCTCCCCGTGAAATTTCAGCAACCATCCACTTGGCACAATACGTCTAATTGAAACACCGATAAAATATCGTACGGATCACCGTGGCGAAAATTGCGTCCCACTTGAGTCGCGGTCGAATCGTTATTGGCTGTCCCGCTTTCATGAATTCGCCCCGTCGATACACGGGCGATTCAATTAAAAGTTTCCAAAGCAAACGCGGAATGAGGCTATCGGCAACGGGAGCGCTTCTCGCGTTCTCGGTGTCTGGTCTCAGCTCGTCCCACTCGCTCCAGATGAGCTCTCGCGAGTCCCCCTCGCGCAGACTCGGCCACTCGGAACAAGCGGTTTAATACGTCATCGTATTCATCCGCGACGTCATACGAGGGTTGAAACAATGACGCCACCGTTGGCGGCCCCCTGCGCCCCTACGACGGTACCTACGTCACTCTTATCGGACGCTTCTGCGCGTAGGTCAGTTACGGCGGGAGGAGGGGCGGCGAGGCGGTTTATCAGGTGGGGGAGAAGGAGACGGGGTGAGCCGGGAAACGAGGGAGAGCGACGGAGAGCGGGTCGCTCTTCCGTCGTCGAGACTTCAACCACCGCCGCGTGGCCTCCATTCATGCGTCACCCGATGCACCCCGCGCGCCCACCGTGCCCCCTCGCGTCTCTCTCGCGTTTCCACGTATCTCCCTTTCTCGCTCTTTCTCTCGCTCGGGGCTCCGGCACGCGGTGCACGCGTGGCAGAGCGGAGGCGTCGTCAGCACGAGTCGACGTCGCCCCGGCTTAATCAACCGTGAGACGGGCACTTCGACACGTGACGAAACACTGATAGCCCCGCAAGCACCGCCGGCGTGCCGTCACCTGTGTGAAGCGTCCGCTGATCCGGAAGGGCGGCCGATCGAGGGCTAAGGTCGACTTCGATCCGGTCTCGCAGCGGGGTGAAACCGGCGACGCGCTTCTCTCGTGCGGAGAACACGCTCGCCTCCACGGGCGCGCGAGCCCGTTGAGTCGAGGCGACGAGCGGTGAAGCCGTTCATCTTCGTGCCCGCCACGTCTGAGAGCATCTCGGCGTTTTCTTTGCCTCTCGCGCGGCAGCATATATAAATTGACATATAAGCAATTTTTCAGTTTTATATATACGTATACGGGTTTAATTATACTCCTCCGATTTAATTATATTCCGAGGATCGGAACTCCACCTGTGTGCGCGTCGCGGCAATTTTTCACGTAGAAATTCGTAGGCACGGACGCGCGGAATGAATTTATTGCCCGCCAAGAGATAGAGCCCGTATGCGATTGTGAAAACTTAATCGACAATGCGAGGCAAGAACAAGGCGCAATAATAAGAATTGACTGACATTCACGATAATACAACGGGCGGGATTATCGCGACGATCGTGTCGTGAGATGCACATAAATGTCAGTAATAAGATAAAGGCGGATAAAGTCATTTGCCTCTCCGGAGGAATCGCGTTCATTTCGACAAGACAACGGTCTCGGCCACGAGCGGCGCACGTACCCCCGGGCTAGCGGCGGTGCGTAAATAATATTGCCAACCGCCTCGTTATCGGCGAACGTGCGGGCGAACACGCGCGGACAAGGCCGAGGCAGCTCGAAACGATCGGCCTGTCATCGATAAAATCCCGATTGTCGAACGGTATATTTTATAATTCAAATTACCCGGTCCAATTTATCGACGTATCCCCAGCCGAAACTTTAGCCCTGCGTTGAACCTTTAATTCTATTATGTATAGTAAGACGTAAGACAGTAAAAGAGGTCCAACTACAAGTACAAAATTTACCCCTACTTTAAAATTAATAAATCGGAAATTTCTACTCTTGCCAATTTAGCATTAAAGTAGGTTTAAGCTAAAGCAAATTTTTAGAATTTAAAGATTCAAGGGAGGATCGGGAAAAATATAATGTCATCAAAGTAAGTTATTGCTGGTCTAGGTAGGTCTATAGATCAGCTAAGTAGGTGTAAATTATCCTTAAAAGTGTCAAAATAGTACCAAAATTTCGACTCGGGGTATTTTCCCCCCGATTGTGATTCGCCCGTCACAATTACGCCGGTAGACCTATCTGATATTATAATGTGCGGAGCGTGCAACGTTCCGGCGCCACCTTGAGTAATTAGCGTGCTTGATTAATTAACGACTGCGGCTAATGGCTTCGCAATAAATTATCGATCTCCTCGCGCGCGTTTCCCCGAGGTAATTTTGAATCCTCTTTTTAAAACGCGAATGTTCACGGCAACGTCCTTACGCAAGTACGCCACTGATTGTTGTTTCACCACCGCTCCGATATTATTCGTGAGCCGAGAAAATGGGGCGCACACGTGCTAACGATATTTCGAGCCTCGTGAGGTTAAAGGCATTTACCCGCGGCTAAGAGACAGAAATGGATACAGACGAGTGATAATTTCAAATGCATCTCACTTTATACAAATACTAGTGAATATTCATAAGCGTCAGAGAATAGAACGCGCGGCAAATATTGTAACGATCGGGACGAAATTTTTCATCTTTCACTCGTCACTTCATTTATGTGTCTTTTATTCATAAATTATTACAAAACGGTATCTTAACAAAGCTGACGAATTTGCGAGGTGTATTTTGCAGCAACAAAAATCACTTTTATCTCAAAATCCACGTTAGCTACATGCCACTCTAGAATATAACGTTGCATTCCTCATAAATTTACGTATGCGTTGGTCAAAATCATGCGAATAATTCAAACCCATAAAAAAAAGGTAGTTTTGCAGCGTATCCACTTCCCTGAAACAGCTGTGCACGGGATATAGCCATGTGGTTATGCGATCAACGATAAAACAGTTATCACGAAACTCAGTAGATCGAGAAAAGCACGTGATGCGGCAGGAAAGGGGAATAAGGTCGTTTGTAATCGATACACGCGGAGCGGAATCTTCCGGCAACACCGTCGCGGCGGTGATAATCACGAGAGACACGTGTCCGATTTCAACAGATGAGTTCCAACGAGCTCGAAAGGCAAGTTCCCCTCGGCAATACCGTGATGCGGAATATGAAAACGAGTCGCGCATATAAATATTTTTTTTCCCCGCCGCGTAAAAGTTGAGCCTGCGATTTTCTCCGTTAATTACGAACTCGCGCGCACTTGATATCCCAATGAATTATAAACTTCTTTATAAAGAGAATGTTGACGATCAACGATCGCGAGATATAATTTAAAGTTTCGTGCTGGCGATTCACACTCTCCGGAATTGATTCGCAAGACCCTATCTCCGCTGTTAAACAACTCCGCATCTATAGATACCTCGACATTAAAACCAGCGCCGTTTCTTTTACATTGACCTCTAGGTACCTGAGGTGGAAAGGATATGTGGGGCGCTCTATGCTTATATTTGCGCTACTAATGTCACTCGAAATTGAATCTGCGAAACGCGTTACTTCAAAGTGAACATTCGAAGATCGAAAAAAGAAACAACTGTCACGCAACGAGAAGGTGATTTGCCTGACCAGGCGAGAGACGCGCATGTTAATTCGCATGCGCGCAATCAACGGATGAGTCGAAACGACGGGCAAATGTCAGGAAACGCCCCGCGGATGTTGCGGATCTGCCGAAGAGACGACCGCTTTTATTAAAGCCGCCCTGGAATCGATACCGCGTCCACCCCGGCGCGGCCCGGCGGTCCGCGCGGATGTCCCGTTAATTTGTTCTTATTAATCGACTCGGGGCCGGTGTGAACTGTTTAATGATTTTTTAATAAACTTCCGGGCACTTTGTACCACGTCCTGAAGATCGTTGTACCGTGTATGCACGGGAGCCAACGCGGCGCATAATCTTTTATTACACTGTGTGATGACCTTTCCTCCGTGAGCTAGTAATGCGCTCTATCAGTGTATATAAAAGGACGAGCACGACGATGCCAGTGAACCTCCTCTGCCCGCGTACTACCCTCATACCCGCTCTCTCTTTCTCTCCTCCGCCGGGCAATGGAGGATTATTTTTTGCGGCATTTATAGAACGTGACTCGCGCGCCGGCTCGCACAGAGCGAGGCGTGCGATTAATAAATATAAATCAGCCGGCGTGTTTGCAAAAAGCGTCCGTTCGAACGACGGACAGCGGGGGCGGGGGGGGGGTAAAAGCTTTTCGCTCTTTTTTTTTTTTTGAAATTTTTCCCGATAACCATCCGTTCGGCCGGACCGGCCTCCGATTTCCTATCGGCGCGGCGCGAGTGCATTCTTCGACAGTAATGTCGAAACGCGCGGCGTAGATTTTATTTCGAGTGCAACGCGATACCGAGCCACTTTCGCGATAGTAAACGCGAAATAACATCCTGAGAGTCTGGGCCATGTCTCTCTGACAATGCGTCATTGAAATCCCCGTCGATTATAACAACGCAAGATTCGCGCGAAGTTAAATCAATATCTGTATCTTGTCCCAATCGACAGATTTCTATGACTGCATTTTATTTGCCAAGGAGCTTGATACGTAATAAAAAAATTATTCAAATACTTCACGTAATATGCACGAAATATAACACTGTAGCTTATAACACTAATGGCCTTCTCTCAAAGTTAAGAACGAATAGGTTAAATAAAGTCCCAACTGCAAATCTTCTGTTATACATGTATACATTTTTAGTCAACGTAAGTTTTAGTGAAGGGTTAAAGCAATTCCAAATGCGTCAATACTACCGGTGCATTTCACTTTCAGTTTCATTTCATTTGATAAATTCACTGAAAATAAAGTTTCGCTACCGTGGCTAATCTTGACTCGCTAAAGATATTTTGCTGCAACGATAAACTTGTAAACCGCCAGCAAACGGTTTGCTGACGCACTTAAGACAATAGACACAGTAGGAAACTATTAGCTAACTAAATATTAGTTGTTCATATTTTTAATCTGAAATTTTGTCGCTACATGCAGTTTTTAGCTGCGGCAGCTGCCATTTTTTTCCGTGTTAGAAGCGATGGGAAAATCGGGTCTATACGAGGACTTTCGCCTCGATACCACTGGAAATGAAAATTTGAGCCCGAAAGCCGCTACCAGTTTTCGGCACGTGACGCTCGCGTGGTTGCTCATCACGGCCGATTATCTGACGGGCGCCGCCGTCGAAAAATTCCGTCTATGCGACTCGCCCAAGGCGATTTCGAAGGTCTTGACGGAGGATTTTTAGAAAGCGGTGCACGATAAACGACACACGGAACAAGACGATGAGCAAGCGAATCCGAGACAGAAATTAGGAGTGCGCGTTCGTTCCTCTCGAGCAATTCATTCATCAAGCAAGTGCTTATAACAGAGTGTACGGAGCCTGAATTTAGTGTCAATTTCTTCTTAGCGAAAATGACACGTCTCGTAGAACGTTTTTCAACAGGGTTCACACCAACGTTGCATGTATAATCCGGTAAGAAACATATTGTCTCGAACGTTATCAAGCTTCTCCGCTTCGATTTCTCGCGAAACTGTCGCAATCGAAGGCTACTCTGCACCACAAATAACAGACATTTATGCAGAGATCAGAATGACGCCGACATTACGAGAAAGGTGTGAGTTAAGTAAAGCCTATAGCGACGGATGACATTTAATAACGATACATTTCGTGGATAGCCAAATAAGTAATCCCGAAGCCCGTACTATTTAAACGTGACATATTGGTTGCCGATCGATCCAGATGGTGTTTATTATTTAAAACACAACAGAGGTGTTTAAATGGCACTTGTCTAACTGTTGTCTCGCTACATACTGCTTTTTATATCTTACCAAGACATCCCGTTTATAATTGCACATATTGCGCCCGCATTTCCTCTGACGACATTCAGTACGCGTAATAATCAAAGCCAATTAATCCCCCCAAAACAAATATTGTAAAAATCTACTCAGTAATATTATTCTCGTGTCGCGATCCAATTAGTAAATGCACTATTTAACATTTAATGTCAATTATATAAAGATGTATAATCTGGTGATTACACATTTGAGAGCATAATGTTTCGTTCACCCAAATAAGGCTCTAACTAGTTTTTCAAATATTCTTGGATTGATCATTTAGAGTTTAACAGCGGACGCCAAACTAAAAACACGCACACATATAATTTAAATATTACTAACGCTATAAAATATTGATGAGCAAGATCTTTGAATTTTATAGGTAAAATTGTAACATTTATTGTCAATTATTAAGATATGATCCGGCAATTGTAGATTCGACAGCGAAATGTCGTTTCGTTCACCTAAATAAGGCTCTATTTCTTCAAATATTCTCGGATTGGTCATTTAAAGAGTTTAAAGGCTAACGCCAAACTAAGGAGACACTCATAAATTAAATATCATTAACTGTCAATTATATTAAGATATATGACCTAGTAAGTGTACATTCGAGAGCGAAATGTCGTTTCGTTCACCTGAATAAAGCTCTATTTCTTCAAATATTCTCGGAGCGGTCATTCAAAGCGTATAAAAGCTAACGCCAAACTAAACGATACACACAAATTAAATATCACTAACGCTATAAAATATTGATTAGCAAAATCTTTGAATGTTACAGGTAAAATTGTAATATAGGGAAATTGCAACTTAAAATCGGACCTGTCGTCCGTGCACTCGCGGGAAAGAAGGAAGCGACGCTCGTACGTGGCAGGACTCGACGGGGCGGAAGGACGAGGAGGAGGAGAAGGAACCGGTTGCCAGCTCTCGTGCAGTCAGGAAGAACCAGGCGAGGGTGAGAGGCCGATATTACGCAATCGCGTGCGGGCCACAAGCCGCGGGTTGCACGACGGAAGGCGGTTGTCGCTTGGACAGCAACACGCACGTTTACGCAGGCAATATTAATGGAGATATGCGCACAATGACTTTAATATTTATAATATCTGTAGTACAATTGAAACCACTGTCGTTGTGTGCGTCTGTGTAAAATTATGCAACGCAAACTTTTGGGGCCGAGAGATTGAAAATTCAGCAAACTGCTAAAAGTCGGTTTTAATTGACAGAAAGTGCATTTAGGGCGATTGCATTCGAAAATTTTCAGACTAATCGAATACTTTTGAAAATGTTTATGCATCCGTATTTTATAAATTAGCTTCGAGACACTTTTAGTTGCACTTACAAGAAAGACGTAACGTGCAGGAGAAATTAAAAAAACTTTCATTTAATTACTTCGAATGCGGACAGTTGATTCAAGAAAAATCTAAAGACGCAAACGTTTCTTACGAGTCCCTTCTCCCACTGATTATCCTAATAACACGTGACCGAATTACACCGCTATTGCATAACGTAATAACTTTAATTGTAATCAGGGATCTCTTTACTGCCGCGCTAATTACGGTAATATACAGCTATTATTCGTTCTTGTAATCTTAAGTGTGGTAGACTTTTAATTACGCCTGAGACGGCACACAGATATTGGTCAGAGCGTTCCACCGCGAATTGTGTAACGTTAGCGATTGCCACGTAACACCCGCGACTTACCGATATTCACGCACGAATCTTAAATAATAAGCGAACGAAATCACTTATGGAGGACGGAATGAAGAACGCGAGCCCGGAAACGCTTTCTTCCCAAGTTGCGGCCACTTTTTGTTTCCCGTAGAGTTTATCCTGTCAAAGTTATGAATACTTATTTTCTCTCCGTTAAAAGCAAGCAACAACAATACTCGCGATCGCGGACAGGATCTTACCTCGGAGAGAATCAGCGTGGGCCGTTATCAGTCTGTTCAGTTTGAAAGTTAAAATAATGTTCGTCGAGATGGAAATTTTATTGTCTCGTCGGATGGGCAAGTATCCGCGGTATCTTGTACAACGATGACTCTAAGATAATCGCGGCATCGCAATTAAAAATTGCAAGTTGTATTTTACTCGATATAAGGCAGAACGAAAATTGCCGATCTGGGCGATCTATTTATTAGAGTCGAGGAAGATCACTTATTCTATATATTTCGCCAGATTTTTATTAAAGGTCTTTATCCTGTCAAAGTTATGGACACTCATTTTCTCTCCGTTAAAAGCAAACAACAATGTTCGCGATCGCGGACAGGATCTTACCTCGGAGAGAATCAGCGTGGGACGATATCAGTCTGTTCAGTTTGAAAGTTAGAATAATGTTCGTCGAGATGGAAATTTTATTGTCTCGCCGGATGGGCAAATACCCGCGGTATCTCGTACGACGATGACTCTTAAGATAATCGCGGCGACGCAATTAATAAAAATTGCACGTTGTATTTTACTCGATATAAGGCAGAATAAAAATTTCCGATCTAGGGTGATCTATTTATTAGAGTCGAGGAAGGTCACTTATTCTATATATTTCGCCAGATTTTTATTAAAGGTCTATATCCGTCCTGAGCGTTATCGTGTCTGACCTGCGCTGGAACCCCTCAATTACGCCCGTTCTGAAATTAGAGCCACGCGTCGCATGCGTACACTTGCGAGAATGAGGCATGAGCGTTCCTCTCGCAAAGTAATTCCGCGGTGCAGCGTAAGAGCGTAATTTCCCTTTCAGCGTGAATGAGATTAAAGCGTGGCGCGCTGAATGCGTGGGCCGCTTCTCTATAATGGAGCCGCGGCGCGTGTCAGTGAATCGATCTCCAAGGGGGTAACTTCTCTTTTTTTTCTCTACATCGCGTTAATAAAAAGCGACCGCATATTATCGTCGATTACCGTGATACCTCTATTTTATTACGGATATGCGAGAACGTACCTGATCGGGCTAAAGGACGATGTGTTTGCGTGAGCAGTAAAGAGTATCGGACTTGCAAGATCTATATTAATCGGCTGTTGCAGCATCTATTCTGAATATCGAGCGTGAGTCTTTAATAAGAAAAGTCGTTGTGAAGCAGTTTCATCTGCCGGTAAAATATATATATGTATATATATTTTAAACGCCGCAATTGCGGCTCCAGTTAGACACGTGGATTGAAACGGCGACGCGGAAGAGGCGCCTCGGAGCTGCCGACATATTCGTTTCGAATTTCGCGATGGGGACGCGCGGCGCCCTTATTTTCCCGCCAATTCCACCTCTATACGCGAACACAGGCACACTGGAGAGTCTAAACATAGGTACGCATACGCGTTTGATATTTCAAGTACACTTTACACCGAGGCCGAAATATCTGTTGTTCCGATTACACTATGCGGTTCGGTCGACATCCATAGACCTTTAAAAACAAGTCATTGTGTAAATTGCGATCGCGCGTTAAATTAGGTATGGCTCATTTGATTCCAATTTCAACTTTACGCCTCTCTGTCGCGGCTCAACAATAACGCGCGAATTAAGCTGAATGTAATGTTAATAAGTTACATTCATAAGAGATTAATCCTCCCGCACGCGTGCATATCCGCAAATAATCGGGGAAAATTCTACGTAAATAGTCGATTCAAGCTTTTCACTCTCGTTCAATTAATAATACATTATTCTCCACTAATTGGCACACTGCACAAATGACGAAGCCGATTAATAGCGGGGCATTTTTATTTTTATCGATAATCTTAAAGGAGCATCGGAGGAGCTAAAGACAGCTGAAGAACTTGAGAGTAGATTGAGAGATCGCAGGGAGTATCGAGTGTGAGGAGCTCGATCGATCGAGCGAGATCACGAAAAACGGCGGAGGGACGAGTCCTCGCGTCAAGCGTCGCAGGGATTTTCGCCGTCGATGCGTCGCGCACACGTATCGATTAATAAAACGCGTGGGCGTCGGCGTTGCACGCGTAGGCGCCGCTCGAACGTGCGTATGTGTGTGCGCGCGTGTGTGTGTGCGGACGGCATCATCGAGAGGCGGTAGCGCGGAATCGTTTCGCGGAATGGAAACCGGATAACTGCCGCTTTCAATGCGGCTTCGATCCGTGCACCGGCGATTACCCGAGCGCCGGGAAACTATCCGCCGTAAAACGATCGGCGCATAAAATCACAGACGTCGTTAACCCCCGGTTAACCACCGCCGCGACCCGTCGACTTTTCATTCATGCCCGGCGGCGACGGCGCGGCGTCGCCGCGGCGCGAGTTAATTCGGCAAAACGCGCCGAATCGATCGCGGCGGATTCGATTAGCGAGCGAAATGGCAACACGTGAGCGACGAATGCACGCGAATCCGTCGATCGGTGCGATCCGATCTAATCGATCTAATTGACGAGGCGGGATATGTACTCGGCGTATCGATTACTCGCGATGTAACCGTCCCTTGTAAGGACTGAGCCGAAATCAGATTTACGATTCCTCTCGGGGAAAAAAGAAGACAAATTTTCTCGATTAAGAAGTAACGATAGAAGTAATCGCGTGCCCCTTCGAGATCCGCAATCCGAAACGGACGATTTTCACAATGCGGAATTTCGTTCGGAAATATGCGCGCCTTTTTATTTCCTGAGTTCATTTAAATTGCTCTTATGCGGTCGGCTTTAAAGGATTAACCTTTAGCAGGACTAAACTCAGGATCTATAATGTCGTTTATGTTGCTCTATTTTTCCTTTCGAATGTCACGTATTAAATGTCGTTTAAAAGTATCTAATTTCGATCTGCGCGATATCGTTTCCCCTTATTTATAAATATCCCCGCAGTCTTCTTCATAAAAAAAACATAGAACGTTGATACGTTAATTAGGACTTATTAAGGTAAAGGATTTCGATATCTCAGCCGATTCAGTTGTAGCGAATTCGGTTGTGTGCTCGCGCACACTGAGTGCACGCTAAGGCCTGCAGTCAATTCTTATATTTGAGGATGTTACGTGTCTCTTGAAATATTTTTCAGCCAGTGAAATGATCTGTAAATACTTTTTCACCGTGCATTTAAGACAAAGTTAAATACACGAACATTGGATATAAACGAGCCTTAGTGTGCAATCAGTGCGCACTAACGCGAGCAACCGAATTCGCTATTAAAAAAAAAAACTATTTCGCAAGCCTTGCTTCTCAGAGGACACGAAAAGCATTCGGCAGCTGATAATTAAATACATAAAAAGTGTTCTGATTTTTCATTCTATTTCTACGCCAACTGCACCCACAGAAAATATCGCGGCGCCAACTTCGTGCGTCGTAAGATGGAGGAAAAATTTATTCTAAACGCAAGATATAAACTTACATTTACATAAGTTACTCTCGTCTCTATATAGTAAGTCAATCCTTTTTAATTCGACAGAGGAGAATAAGAACTATTGACTTAATTTCGATAGTGTCTTATTTTTCTACTAAATGAGGTTGTAAAAAATATGAATGCGTGAAGAATAGTTTTGTCTCGGTAACAGAAATCCTTTCTGAGGGTGTGAAATAGAGAATCTTACGGACAAGTTTAAATTCCGGTCTTAAAGCCTATGTCCACGATGCTAGAACATGGTCCAAGTTCTAGTTTCGAGAAATCTGTAGCCAATCAACTTGCAGCTATTCCATAAAAGCTGCAAGTCGATTGGCTACACATTTCTCGGGACTAGAACTTGGACCAAGTTCTAGCATCGTGGACACAGGCCTTTAGAGCAATGTTCTCCAAAGTAAAACTTGATCTTACACGCGCGCTTTCTTGTTATTGTCGCGCTATCTAGCAAGAACCGTGTGCGGCCGCGCCGAATAAAGAAAAAAGGATTTAAAGAAGAACCCGTTCCACTTTCCCACGAGCAAAGTGCAGCGTCAAGTGCCGCGAGGTTCTCCGCATCCGAAACGAAAGGAAACGCACGAAGGTGCGACATGATTTAACGGCGATCGTTACGTTTATTGTAGTATCTCTCTCTCTCGCGCGCGCGTGCGCACGCGCGCACGTGCAGCCTCCTCGCCTACATAATTCAATCCCAAAGAAAGTCGATGCAACGCGTTGATTCGCACTTTTTGGCGGCGAATTGTCGCGGTCGTGCCCCGCACTTTCCCACGTTTACATCAGGTATATTAGGCATTATAGATGCCACAGCATCCGCCAGATGCATTTTCTAAAGACATCGTGCATTTTTCGCGCATCGTGACGAGGATCGTAACGAAAAAAATGGGCAATAATTGTCAGCTGGCGTTCGTCGGGTGTCCTCGAAGACGGTGCTAAAGGATGATTATTCTCCCGTTACTTAAAATGCCGCTACGCCGTTTGCATTCGCGGCGCGATCGCGCCTGATTTTTAGAAGACGGAAAACAGAGAAATTTATAAACAACACCGCGTGCCTAAAGGATTATTATCCCGAGGTAAAATAAATCTTGCCGCATCCTACTCTATTCTCCCCCTCTTCTCTCTTCTCTCCTTCTCTTTTTCTCTCTCTCTCTCTCTCTCTGCCTACCTCATCGCTCTAGCTCGTTCTCTCTCCGGCTCGATAGATCGGAGAACGATGGGCGATTAGCGCCGCGTGTGAAAGGGAAAGCGAGTGGTCGACTTCACGGAGGAGGACGATCGACCCGACAGCATGGCGCGGTACACGGCTCGAAACGACTCTCTCCTCCGTACGTAACGCGCGTTCGCCGTCTCTCCCGCGCTCTCTTCCATCCCGCGTCTCTCCTTTTTTTTCTCTTTCTCTCTCCCTCCCCTTCTTTCTGACGCTTTTTGCGGCGCACGATTCGAAAATCAATGAATAGGTAATTCACCGGCTGAAGCCGATCGGTTTAGTTTTCGAGATCTCTCAAGAACGTTGACACGTGACAACGCGATAGGAATGATGTGAAGTACGGCATTAAAATAAACGAATAAATAAATAATCGCGAAAAGCGGGGAATGCAGAATAAATTCGGATATTCGGATAATCCGTAAATTTCAGTACTCAAGAGCTGAATATGGTACAACTTTAATAAACCCGACTTTGTCGCCTAAAAATATTATTTTTCGTCTTGCATATTTTATCTCACTTGTGATGTTTTTTATTATCGAAAATATCAGTTTCACGTGCTTTACGTCCGAGTTTAGATTCAACAAAATTATACAGGTTGCAGTTCTTCATTTAGATACGATTATAAGATGTTTATTGAATATTAAAATAATAAAATTTATAATTAATAAGAAAAAATGCCACGTCTGGTCGAACTGG